ATATATATATATATATATATATATATATATATATATATATATATATTTCAATTAATAACTTTATTGATGATCTTTATGTGTGATGCAGTAAAGTCATCATCAACAAGAACATACTCTGTGGTGGACAGCTATACATTGATGGGTATCTTCTTCAGCTGTTCAGTCATTTTGCTGCAATTGACCTTCAAATTTATCATTTCATCAAGCTCGTAAATAAAAAATTAGTTTCCAATTATCCAACTTTGGTATCTAATTTGGTTACTTGTTTGCAGGATCACTGGTGTGTCTGTTAGCATGGATTACAACGAACCATTATCCAGCACCATATGTTATGCATCTCATTATGTAAATGTCAGATTTATATATATTGTTGGCTTCTTGCGTGTTATATATTGTTGGCTTCTTGCATGCATACATGAGAGAGAGAGAGAGAGAGAGAGAGAGAGAGAGAGAGAGAGAGAGAGAGAGAGTTGTAAACATATTTTTGAAACTTAGTATGCTTCCATTGTTTCACATAAGCAAATAGTACACTTGACTTTGAAGTTGACAGAGGAAGAGAAATGTTGGAATTCTTTCCGAGTCTATTTATTTTTCCTGAAAATTACATGAATTCCAAAATTTCACCTTTCTACCCTTACCCTTTTTTCTTGCAAACATCTTTCTGCCCTCTTAAGGGATGATCTAATACATTGCATTGGACAGTAAATTACAAAAAGATCCGTTTGCCTTATTATGTTCTTTCAAATGTGTAGACTCTACAACGGCTCTCGATCATGATGAGTTCAAAACTGATATCTGAGGCATCCTTAATAAACAATTGTATCTTTCTTCATTGTCTGAAATCATTAATCAAAACGGATTAAAGGAATTGATAGTTTTCATCACAACCTGAAGATGTTAATTATATATGGTCAGACCACTCACATTGGATATATCTACCCATTGATCAAGGGTCCTGATAGCCTTCCCTGAAATTTGTGTTTCACGAGCCAACGAAACTCCTTCGGCCAAGGTGTTCACCCGACCGCTGACAAAGAGAGCTGCTGCAGCATTTAAGATCTGGCCAACAGATTTGGTAATGAATAGATATCTCAAACATAGGAAGGACATAACAAAATCCATATTTAGTTGTAACAATCAAGAAAACATACAAATGCATCTGCAATGGAACCTTTCTCCCCAGACAATACACGCTTTAGTGCCTCAGCATTATACTCAGGGCCTCCACCTCGCAAGTCATCTAGGGTGCAACGAGGAATTCCAAAATCCACTATAACATAAAAATAATGATTTTCTTGTAAGTTCTATGAAAAATCATCCGAAAATCTGAAAGCAGCAATAAGCATAAGAATTAATAGTTGAGAACTAGAAACAAAAGATTCTCACATGGATCAAAGGAGAACTCCTCAATTTTATTAGGAGTCACATCAAGGATATGCCCAGGTCCTATATTCAAATCAATTACATGTAAGTTAGGGTTATATTTGAATTAGAAGCAAAATAAAGATGATAATGTATTAGCTTAAGGCCGTAAAAAGCCTCGTACAACTTCCGTATAAACATAGACTACAATAAAAAGAGGGATTTTACCAAGTGGACTCATTTCGTCCAAGCCCTCTGAGTGAACAACTAACGCTCTCTTCATTCCAAAGCTTTGCAACGCTTTAGCCATCTTCAAGACCTACACAATTAAGAAATATAATGAGCCACATGCACACTAGTTAGTTATAAGATAAAGTCCAAGTTTCTACAAGATGTACCTTGTGTCCACTAAAGTGTTAAATAAACAAGATACATTATTATCATTACACAAGCGATGCCAAAACTATTTACATGAAGTGAAACCCATAGTCAACAAAGAAATATAACATAGTTGTTTCATTTGGTTCTATACCTTTAACATGAAGTGTAGGAGACTAATTGTTGTTGTCCCTCACAAATCACCATCTAAGCTCACTATAAGATAAGCAACAATCCATTCTAAGTTTAGACAATCCAAAGTACTCTAGATGATGAGCCTTAAAGGAAACTACTCAAAATCTGAAAATCAGACAGTCATCATGGCCGTATGTTATTCATTCAAACATAAATTATTCCCGCATTGACAAAAACAATGTAGAAGTTCTTTGGATCATTCTTAGAATTGCTTTCTTGTCAACATCTTTTTCTCACAGAACAAGAAATGTCATCTTTGCATACAAATCCCTAGTTAAGAAAATTGTTTCAAAGCAAAAGTTCCCGCATTGAAAGTATCAGTATTTATAGAAAAATACAATTGCACACACTGGAGCAGTGTGTCAACAAATCATCAAATTTAGCACAACGTGTTATCTACATGCCTAAGGTGCATGATACAAAAATAAAGCTAAGATCAAGATAGAAATTTGTTTGTGAAAACAATGATATTTCTAATATTTCCAAAATTCTAGGAATAAACACTTACGAGCTCATCCTTGTATACACCAACAACAGCAAAAGGTACTCTTGCTGGATTCAACAGGGGTCCCAATATATTAAATACAGTCTTTACTTTCAGCTTTTTTCTAACAGGGCGGACAACATTCATTGCTGGATGATACTTGGGTGCCATCATAAATCCAATGCCTGCTTCATTCACACATCTAGTTACCCCCTGGTTCAAGAAAAATCACAATTGAATGAGCATCTTTCTAGTCAAATTTGACATCACAACTGTACATTTTATTTAACATTTTGGCTATTCTCAATGACATTTTAAAAGGAAAAGTAAATGATCTATTCACCTCAAGTACTAACTAGACTCCACTGTACCATCAATCCACATATTTGAAACCAAATGTTTAATGCACCAACCTCAGGGTCCAAGTCAATTATTATTCCCAAAGCTTCTAATACATCAGCACTTCCACATGCAGAGGAACTGGAACGACTTCCTTGCTGGGATACAACAGTTATCAGATATTAATTATAGTTTGAAAAAAATCACATAACGCAAAAACATGACAGCATCAATGAAGATAGATGTTACCTTTGCAACTTTTGCACCGCTAGCTGCAGCAAGTATTGCAGCCCCTGTTGAAATGTTTACAGTGTTTGCCCCATCACCACCAGTTCCAACAATGTCAACTGCATCATCTATGCCTTCTATATTCAAGCTGTGCTTCATCATCCCCTTTGCCAATCCCACAATCTGTTTAATCATAAAAACCAATCAAACAAATTATACAGGGGAAATAGGAACAGTCATCCTTCTCCTTTTTCTTTGTGAATAAAGTAGAAGCCACAAATGGAAACACAAAGACAAAAAAGAAAACAACCTACTGAAACAACAGGATCATCAGAAAGACAACAGAGACACCATGAAAAAATCAAACCACCATGAGAACAAAGATCAGTAAACCAACAAGATGGCACAACCAGCTGAATCCAAGAAAAACAAGCAACTCAAGTTCTGTTATCATGCACCCCCTTAAGAGAAAAAGGAATATCCCAGTTGTCACATGGTTGCCTTCTATTAGAAGAATTGTTCATATTTTTCCAAGGGCAGGATCTCACACATTCAATCACCAGTTCACTGATTTCTTCCTCTATTCTAAATATGCCATTATGTAGCCTATATTTCTTTTTAACATACTTCTTCTAGTCAAATGTATTCCATTCTACTGATTTTAAGTAGCATTGTTGACCCAGATAAAAAATGCGAAACAATTGTTACAAAAAAATCCAAATAACTGAAGCAGATAACTTTAGCAGAGTTCAAATGCATACATACTACACAAATCTACAGTTGACAGATATTGAAAAAACGTTGAACACAAATAAAATTGCATTAACAACATCAGAAAATTCATGTCTGGGAGTTTCAGAAACTTGCTTTTGAAAATTTGTATGTTTACCCACAAACTTAAGAAGAACATATCAAGTAATGACAACAAAAATGCAAGATTTATATTTGCAGATGAAAGGAAACAATAAACAATAGCTGAGACTGCCCTCATCAGATCTTTGCAAACAAGTGCAAAGAATCAACCCACATAAATACGTTTCACATATAACCCATCACCGAATTGGAACATGCCAACGATCAAATCCAATAACATTGATAAACACGAACCCATCAATAATAACATCTAGTGCAGTTGACCTCTGAAAGTAATCCAAAAACATACCAAAAGGGAAAATAAATGGGTTGAACTGAAACAACATACACAAAGAAGAAATGGATGCATAACCATACCTGAACAATCAATCTACCATGACAAAATGACACCAAAGGGATAGTGTTATCTGGGTCTCAATAAAAATGTATTCCTTAAATTTTCCTAAGTTTAAGTAACATTATTGACCACCAATCATCATCTGTACCACTAGAAATAGGAAATTGCAGGCATCTAATTTGAATTTGAACAAGTTGTTAGCTCCTAGCATGAGGCCATCTCACTCGCCCTCATGAATAATATGACTAACTTTAGCATGCAAATTAGTCCCAAGATCACAGTCCCTTTCATATTTGAATTGATAAGATTTCAGAAATTCACAGAAAAGGAGGAGGAAATAATTAATCTCAAAATAGTTCCTAAAATTTGGTGGATACAAGAATAGTTCACAAAAAAAAGTTTAAAAAGTAGTAGAAGAATAATCTAAAAGTACCTAAAAGGAACCAGAACGTCAAACAAATAAACAAATCTCGAAACTCTTAGTAATGGAGAATACAAACTATCAAAACAAACAAACAAACAAAAAACATTAGTGCACGCCATACCAGAGTATGAGAAAGAGTAAAAAAATATAGCAGATACTCTAGACTGCCGTCCCAAGATTATGGCAAAATTAGAGACCCAATGCTGCAATTTGCTGAACTGCTTCATGCAAGTGAAAGACATGAAAACAGAGGTACCACATTTAGAAAAATTAAAGGCGAAACCATACAGGCATTTTAGCGAACAATTCACATGCAAACAGTGGCGGATCCAGGATTTGAAATCCGACTGGACGAAACTTACATTAAAAACTCGAGGTTATGAGTGAATCCCATTAACAAACATAAAAATATACACTTAGTAGGGGGACATAATGAGCCCTACCCTCAAATGCATCTCTATACATAAATAAAAGTTTAGCAAAAAAAAAAACTGTTCTTTTTCTTAAAAAATAATTTCCAACAAATTCTTTGTTTTCTTGGGGTTCGGATTGTGATCCGACATAACAAAAGATAACCTATTTAATCCAACATCCCAACAAAAAATCAAATAAATTCTCATAATAACATCAATGCCTTTAATCAAACATTTAACATACCAACAACAAATCAAAACATCTCGACAATACCAATATCAAATCAAACATCTCGACAATACCAATATCAAATCAAACATCTCAACAAAATTCCAAAAATCAAAGACCTAATTAATTTCAACAAAGTCAGCAAATCATAATTCATTCTTAAGTAAACTCGAGAATAGATTAGAACACATAACTTCTAACCTATTTAAAATATATTAGATTCAATGTTGTCATATACAAAATCTTAAAATTTGGGGGTAGGAAATTAAAGAGAAGACAATTAAAGAGGAGAGAAATTTTAGGTTATGCATACATGCGGGTTGCTTTTTGGGTGGGCATAGGTTTGTATGTTTCACATGGGTTGGCCTATTCTATATGGGTATTTTTTATTTTTGAAAATTTTGGGGTAGGCAGCAGCCTACCTTGCCCTAGGCGTAGGACCGATGCAAACATACATGATATGATCAACTTAAAATGCTATTTTTATTTTTAAAAAGAATTCTTACTTCTCCATAAGTCTCTCCTTTGGCTCTCAATAATACAAGGAAAGCACTTATCAAAGCCTCATTAGCATCTCGCAGCAAAAATTCCAATGAAGCTTCAGCCTCCGCCTCTGATAAATCCACGCGATCAATTAACGACTCGATCAACTGCAAAACCACAACAAAATCTCACAAACCCAAATTTGTTTCTTCCCAAAATAAAAATAAAATAAATCACAAGTCACTGAAAATTGAACCTAAAGAAACCCAATTGGTACCTCATTGAAAGAAGCTATTGGTGGCTTTGATCTCTCAGAAACAATGGGCGAAGCAGAGAGCAGAGCACAAACTCGAACAGCTGAGCTTCTTTGCTTTATGTTGGGAGCTAAAGGTATGCAGCTGCTGCTTAGAAACTTGAGCTTAGTGCGGTTAGTCAATGAAGCAAGACTGGTCAGAGATTGGAGTTGCGTTGACACTGCCATGGTGGAAACCTGTAAACGATTGGAACTAAAAAAATCGCTTCTCAACCCAAACTGTCTAATATCAGATTTCTAAGACGAAAAGCTCATTGCCCAAGTCAAGTTTCAGAGAAATTTGGGAGCTTTGAAGATTTTCACCAACTCAGTCTTTGGAAATTGGAGCTATTCCACGGAAACCTGGGCGGTTTTATGCACAATCCCAGATTGTTAAAACGTCTTTTGTTTGGCTCCGATTGTTAAAACTTTTTTTGCGGGGGGTGGGGTAGTTTTCCATTTGAATATAACCGCACACAAACCCGTATAAAATATTTTCAACTTTTATTTTGTCTTTTATTTTGTAAATTTCTTCCCACCAAAACGTTTGGTGGGCAAATTAAAAAATACATAAATGTGTCAAAAAAAGAAACATAAATAAATAAAAATGTGGGCTTTGTTTAGTTGAAAACCCCAAACGGTGTGTATTATTATTATGACCACCTTGGTCGTCTAGTCAATCTTAGTAAACCCCAAAACGTTAGACCCTATTTGGTTCATAGAATAGATTTGAGAGAAAATCAGTTCCTATATCATAAGGAATGGAAAATGAAAGATTTTTTTTATCATTTTGGTAATACCGAGAAAGTAATTGAGAGATATCACTTTATTTCCTTTCCTATGATTATTTTGAGTATGAATAGAAAACACAGTTTGTATAATTTTCCAATTATACCCATATTAAATCAAATATAAAAAAAGGAATGCAAAATGTGGACAAAATGATCATGAAAAATGTGCATTTAATATAGGCTCATTTTCCCAAACTTTCCCATGATGAGAGAAAACAAAATCCAAGTTGGGAGAAGGGCTTCACTTCCCCCCTTATTTTCTCATGTGTCAAATAACAATTTCTCATACCTGGACTTACCAAACGGGGAAAAGCAATTAATTTCTCATCTGCAAGCCTCCTTTACTATAAACCAAACGGGCCTTATTGGGTATGTAACTCAAGTGAATAGGTGCGTTTATTCATGCATTCAATGTTTTGTATGTTAAAAGTGCAAAGCACTCAAATTTTAAGTTGGAATCTCTCTTATTCATTGTACCAATGCTACCTAAAAGCCTATAATAATCTTCCCTAATTTGCTAACAAATCGTATCCAACTTGGTTTCTGATTCATGTTATACGTACAAAGGGTGTATCCGAAATCAACCAATTGGATGTTTAAAATTCTCTATAACAGTAATAACTATTAGTATTATACTTAATATACTAGTTACCGTTATTTTTTTTGGTCAAGTACTAGTTACCTTTTTTATTGGGTCAAAGAATGCAATGGCTACCTAACCTCCTCAAATTTTATCCTCAGTAACTTCCATATGTAAAACCATCCATAGGCCTGTGATGCAGACCATCTGATCAGATCTATGATGCAAAAGGTTTTTCTTTTAAAAAAAAATGTTTGTATTTATATTTATTTTACCAAAAGGAAAATGTTCTTGATATAAAATAAATAAATGTCAGAGTTTGGGACCAAGTGATTGCATGATGTTTCATTTTTCTCATATTGTTTTCTTATAATAATTTGTTCAGATGTAGACTCAATATAAATATAAAAGAGGACTATATATTTTGTTGATTTTGATCACATGCTTTCTTGAGAGAAGAAATCAATTTCTTCAAATTCCTCCACTTACCTAAGGCTAATATGGGCAATTGGACATAAGAATGATGGATGACTGATTTTGAGACCACAAATTTTTGTGAGAGGCAAAGCTAAATATGGATGTCTGATTTTGAGACCACAACTTTTTGTGAGAGGCAAAGCTAAATATGGGCATAAGAATGTCTGATTTTGAGACCACAAATTTTTGTGAGAGGCAAAGCTAAATATGGGCATAAGAATGATGGATGTCTGATTTTGAGACCACAACTTTTTGTGAGAGGCTTTGGTATAGTACAACGTTGTATTCAGAAATTATGAAGCATTCATAGAGGCTTATCCATCTAACAACATTACACATCATTTTGGTTTTTTGTTTTCTTCCATGCTTGAGTCTCTTGAGAAGAAAGATAGAAAGAATGGTCAATTTCTCTTCTCTCGTTACTAATTCCAAATTCTATAGGGGTCTAATTAATTTGCATCAAATTATTAGTTTCGTTTGGTGTCGTTAATCTCTACTTTATATCATTTAACCACAACAAAAATGTATTAGTTTAGTTTGATAGTGTTAATCTCAGATTTATTTGTTGAATATTTAGTCGTGGACTCTCTAGTCCACTTTATTGGAAGAAGTTTCAAGTTCAAACTCCCTGTCTACAAGGAATATTTAGTTTTTTTTTTCAAGGAAAGGAAAAAAAGGTTCGGGGGCCCCAATTAGTCCAAACGGAGCTGGATGGGCTTCTGCAGCGGCCCATGCAGTTATTCAATTTCTTATCCTTTTAGGGCACGTTTAACTTAAAGCCCATTTGGCAGTTTCTTTTGGGTCACTTTCGGTGAACAGGGGACAAATGCTTTTTCATGGAAACACATGCCATTTTCGGAAAGCAGCCCAAATTGTTATGCGATCCTTACGAGCTATTTTTAGAAAGAAAAAGGATTTCTTGACATTGCTCGACTTTTTAAGAAACCTATGATCACATATATATATATATATATATATATATCGATTTTATAATTAATAAAAAAAAGGACAGGAAACAATTTCCTTTAATGGAGGAAATGTATGGATGTATGTATGCTGGTACATCCAAAGAGGTTTGCAGAAACCACATTAAGCTCTTAAAGAAGCAAGCAGCTAATTGAAGCACATAAAAAAGTACTCAATTTTAGAATTCAATCTGTGCAAAACATGGCCGCTCTGCCCATCAACTGTTGCATGCGGATGGAAGATTTTTGCACGTAAACTCTTCTAAAAATCACACACGCATGAAAACACATACACATACATATATATATATATATGAAAATAATTCAGAAACAATGATGAACATCACAAACTTAATCAAGCATCTACTAGCACACATCTATATATCTCAAAGCATCCCGAGTGATGAAAGACAGAGAGAGAGATGACAAATAACCATCGTGAACTCAGATAAAACAATATTTACAGAAGAATAAAAACCTATAACCTAACACATACAGAAGAAGAAGAAGAAGAAGAAGAAGAAGAAGAAGAAGAAAAATGGAGGAGGAAAACGAAAGAGGCTGGCTATGAAAATGAAGGGGTTGCTTTGGTTTTTATCAAGGATCTGAGGTCTTCTAGGGCAACCTGGAGCCAGGGTTTCGGGCAGCGGGCAGCGGGCAGCCTGGTGCCTAGAAGGAAGGATTTTGGGCAGCGTTGGCTGAGCTGCCCAAATAATAAACAAGTCCGCAAGTTGCAATGTTTTGATACTCTTGAGTCTTGAGCTTATCTCTTGGTGTGGTAGTTGTGGCATGTAATGCATATGTAATGTAACGTAAGATATGCGTGTTCACATACACGCATTTGTCGAAAGCATTAAAAAGGGAATATGCTTCTAGTTTCTTTTTTAATTTTTAAAATGTTTTCCTAAGCATAGTTCGAGAAGTTTATTTGGTTTGCTTATAAGAAAAGATAAATATATAATTTAAAAGTTTTTTTATATACATTTTTTATACAAGTCATATTCGAGAGGAAGATCAGAGCACAAGACCTCCGATGCAAGGTAAGGACATGCTTTGAAAGTTAACATCTCATTTTAGTTTGGTATAATGCCTCTCATGATTCTTGATTTGATTTCCTTGAAGGGAAAAAAAATAGTCTAGAGATCTTGATGACTTGGATTTTTCGTAATTCAATTTGGCTAAAACGATAAGGGAAAGGATTCTCCATCTTTACTTTATAGATTTTCACAAGATCTTAGGGATTGTGATTAACAATAATACACCCTGCCAACCACGAAAATCATAAGATTAGTGGTGTCTAATCACAATTATACCGTCCCATGTCGACCATTACTGGCTTAAGCTAAACAGGGGGGTACGACTTTGAGTTACTGCATACTTTATAGGAAAAGCTGAGACCCTTTTTACAATCACTTTTTTAAGTGTAACTCTAGTGCTTACTTTACACACAACTATGAATAATACATGAACAAGCTATTCCCAGCGGCACTAGCAATCAAGTTTGTTTCTGGATGCCATGCCAAATGTAGTAGCCTGGAGCTTAGGTCGTAACTACTTTCACTACTGCCCGAGCTTGAATTTTCATGCCCTGAAAAATCAGAAAAGTCGGGTTTTAATCCGCAGATAGATATACTCTTAGTGTGAAGAAAGCAAAGAAACATAATGAGGTTGAGAACCCCAACCGTGCCGGTAAAATCCTCGTGCCAGATTGCTCAAGGATGACCTCCTAGCCCTTGGAGCAGTCCGGAGAAGTGGCTTCCTGCTTTAAAGTTCAGAAAGGAAGTAAAACTATCAGGGGAAAATAAGATACAGACAAGAAATAAAACTGAACCTGCATACTGTATAACACTGAAATTATGTACATTTTCCAAGTGACAATGGAATTGGTTCGCAATTCCAACTCTCAAGTACTGTTGCTATTTCCTTATTGTAAGAGCAAAATGACCATTTCACTTTTTGGGGGAGGGGTAGAGGAAATCATTCATGTCCATGGAGACCATTTCACTAAAAAGAAAAATTCGCAAAATAGAACCTTGCCCTCTTGACTATAAGGTTCGATTACACCAACTCCAAAATTTACAATTTGAGGGGAATTAGGGAGAGGATACCTGTTGGGAGTTTTGCTAGCTTCTATTGTAGCTCCTTCTTCACTTCCATCTCCACCGGAGAAAATGCGCACTAGGTTGCTAAGTCAAAATAAAAGAAAGTTGTAACAGTTGGGCAAACACAACTTGCACAACTTCGACGGGCAATACCAGTATTGGGACTTATATGCGAGAGTACATCCTGTGAAAAGGACATACCTATAAGATCCAGTTGCATAATGAAGTCCATCTCCGCTGAAGCAGCAACCAAATCTATCAAATATGCGATCATTGTTATACAACTCAGATAACTGCAAGGGGGAAAAAAACTGTCAGCTGTAGGGACTACGAAGATATGGGTATGCAAGGTTACACATTTAAACTTACAAGTAAAAGCTAAAAATACCATAAGTCAGCTGCATGGGTCAGTTCACAGGTTGTTTAAACATTAACGTGGAGAAAATTTCATGCTGAAAGTTTATGCTCCAATTGTTCATGAACCTAATTCCATACATCTATAAAATAAAAAAAAATAAAAAATCT